TGTTTGGGAGTTGAATTAAATACACTTAGCACAGAAACTCAAAGTGTGTTTTCTATGTTTTCACTAATTTTCATTCCAGATACAGCAGGTCAGTGTAAACTTAATACTAACTGTAGCTCTTTATTAATAGGGAACATGGAAGCGGTTGCATAAGAACAACGGCAGAAATGTAAGAAAAGAATGTTGAAAGTCATGATGAGGAAGTCATGGCTCCACAGTTACAGGAAAAAGATACATTTGTGTTTCAGAAGCTCAAGAAGAAAAGCGAGACTGAGAGACATGGCGGTTCAATCTAGATGGATTAAAATGGCTGTGCCTTTTATACTCATACTGCAGTTTACAGGTAAGAAATATGTACAATAGAGAAGGGTTTTTTTAAACTCTTCTTTCTAATTTTGCTTTATGGAATCTTTATGTAGCATAGACAGCGATGCTGTTTATTTCACCAAAGCAAACAAAGATTAAATGAAAAGTAAATACATGTTAAGTGTGTAACTTATCTGCACTCGTGTAATGTAACATTTTCGATTCTCTGTTATATCCTCAGGAGCACCAAGTGGAGATCTTTCACTCTCCTTCACTGTCAGAGATGGCGATAATGTCACTTTGCCTTGTAAAAACGTGATCAACAATCATCACAACTGTGACACTACCACCTGGCTCTTCACTGATTCAAGAGGCACACCAGCAGTAGAGCTGGTTAATCTTGGACAAATCAAAGAAAAAGCCAACTCAGACAGACTGAGTGTTACAGCAGAATGCTCACTGGTTATAAAGAAGGTCACAGCTGAGGATGTTGGTCATTACACCTGCAGACAGTTTAGAGGCAATCCAGGGAAACAGCAAGGTCCAGATGCTGTGGTTTACCTGTCTGTTGTTAGCAGTGAGTATTTGCAACACTATATTTTGAGCTCAAACCATCCTGTTAGAGCAACATGCTGACAAGTTACATTTTGAAAAAAGGAAACTTATATTTATTTGGTATTTCTCTTGAATTTCATCTTCACCAGTGACTGAACACAAGAAAGCTGATGAGGTGACTTTAAACTGCTCTGTGTGGACATATGAACGGTGCAAACACAAAGTGAAGTGGATCCATATCAGTGAAGCTCTGGATAGAGATTACTCAAATTTAAAAACATTGGAGTCTTCCTGCTCTGCTACTGTGACTTTTCTGAATGATGCATACACTCATATATCAACTTGTGACTTTAACTGTAGCGTAACAACAGAAGGAAAAAAAGAGCAGCTTTTTACCTTCAGCGCTCAGTCATCAGGTAAGAAACCCGGAGAGATTCTGAAGAACTTTTCAAAATCCTTTTAAACTGATATACACAATAAACACCTGGCTGAATTTTGTTCTTTTTTCAGGTAAAGAAGCAGTAACAGCAAAATTATCAACAACAACATCAGCAACAACAACATCAGCAACAACATTATACGCACCTAGTATCCCAGGTGAGTTTTGTCATTTGTTTGTTTTCTTTTCTGCTTTTCCTAATAATAACTGAATGTCAATCTATCATTTTTTAAAGCACATGTTGTTTTTTATTTGTTTTAAATTATCTCAGATAATTAAAATATTTAGTGTAACTAAATACTTTATATTTTTGTATTCAGGTGCAGATCAGGTGTGGCCGTACATCCTTGTGGTTGTCATTTTAGTTGCAGTTTTAATTGTGGCTGTGAAACTAATCTGTTTGAAGAGACTCAAAGGTGAGATAAATTAAATTAAATGTCTCTTAGTGAGAAATCTGAATAAGGCTGAATTTTCTTTGTGGAGAAGCATCTAACCTTGTTTGTTTGTTTGTTTATCTTTTCAGGGAACAAAATAGAAGCAAATGGAAATGCTGTGAGTTGAAAAAAAATTTTTTTTTAGACATTTTGTATTCTCTAGATGAGAAACAATGCAGCAAGATAAACAGTGTTAATGGTTTTGTATTAAAACTCACTGGTTCTTGCAGCAAAAGATCAGGAAAAGGAACAAAAGAGGGAACAAAGCATTTTTGCTTTGCTTTTATAGTTATTAATGCTTCAAATGACAACCTGCTAACTGATGAAATTCTCTCTGACTGCAAAAAAGATTATATTAAAGGCCTCAAATATGGTGTGTATTGTGTGACTGTTGTGTTGCATTTTATCTATTTAAACTCTGGATTTAAAAAAAAGTTTGTTGCAGATGTTTCAACGCT